CTGGGATTAGTTAATTTAACACTTTTAATATCTTAACTACAAAATGATGAAGTCGAAATTCACTTTAGCTAGTTTTCTCCGTATAGCGACCAATCTTTAACTTTTCTTTTAGACTAAAAGGAGATTAATAAAAAAACAAGAAAAACAGAGAATTAATGGTAATAGTTTTTTTTAAGGAAATGACGCAAATGGAGAAGTGGAACCACAAAAGCAGAGCACGCTTTGTTTATCCTGAATCTTTTTTTTTTTTTTTTGAAACTTTTTAGCCTGAATCTTTATAAAGAAAATGTAACAAGCAAAAAGTGAGTACCCATAATCAAGTTATTAATAATTTATTTTGTATATAAAAAACAAAACATGCAAGAATGGGATCATATTTATTTTTTAAGAAGGGTTCATAGAGATTTTTGCGATTGAATCCAAAGTCGTACAACTCTCCATACTTTGCCACAATGTCAATAAGTCTTTACTATTTTTTTCTCGCATTTTCCAATTAATTATACGGTTTTGTTATGTAAAAGAAAACCCTATAATATTTTGTTATGATTCTTAAAATGAGGACCACGCCTACTTTGCTACGACTCTACCACTAGGACTAGCTGTGACGTAAGAACATGATTATAGATAGTAAATATGATTAGAATAATGTATGAATTTTATAATATTAATTGTATTAGGATTGATAAATAGAGAGATAAAGAAAAAAGAGATAGAAAGAAATATTATATTTATCCACTAAATATAAGTAATATAAATTTTATATTTAAAAATTTAAAAATAATTTAGATAAATATAAAAATTTTATAATATTAATTTTTTTTTATATTTATCTTCATATATCATCCATAATCATATCTCGAAGACCAATCAGCAACGGTTATAGCCACTCACGGTCTTGAGCCGTTGATTAACACGCGCTACGTCCCGCGCGTAACCAGTGTAATTCTTCTCGGAAAACAGAATTTGACCGCATCGGGTAGAACAAAACTCTTTTGAAGAAATGCATGATTCTGTTAATTTTACTAGCGCACAGTAACTTTTATGATTCCCAAAGTTTTTTCTCTACTAATATTCATAGGTAATATTTTAAAAATACATAAGAGTAATAACCAATCTATATTTTATACGTACCGTGTCATTTTCTTTATACCTACACAGTACATGTAAACGTTAGGTATATGAATATTAGGTAAATGAATATAATTTGAACCAAAAGTTATATTTTTTTTTCGTTTTCATTCTCGACTTATTTCATTATTTAAAACAAAATTATGGGATTTAATATGCAATCCTTCAAATAAAATAAATATATTAATTACCTTAAAAATCACCACAAGCACGTGATCCACTTCACAGTCCCAAAATCTCTCCTCTTCTCACCGGAGATACAGCTGCTTTCCATTTTTTTAATTTAAAAGAAAGGATACAAAAGCAATTAATATTGATTTGAATTTCTTCTACTGACTTTACACACAC